AGAAGCTTAAGAACTCTGCTTACTTTGCAATTTTACCTGGGGCTCTGATGCTTTTGGGGTCAGTGCCTCCCATTCTGTCTTGAGATGACTACAAAATTTAGAATTTCACACCATCCTACTTTAGAGCGTAAATTATCAGCCTGTCCTGGTTTGGATGAGTCTACTGTTTCAGCCTAGTTCAGCCCAGTATCTCCTCTTTAGGTCTGTATCTCTCTTACGAAAGAAGAGGGTGATAAAGGAAAGGAGAAGGTCATTCTTACTGACCTGATAGTGGAAGAAAAGTAGGTTAGTCCCCCTTCTTTCCGTTGCCTGTCCTTATTACTCATCTTTCTCTCTTCTATATGGATATTTGTATATTTTCTCGTTCATGAAAATCTGTAAACCTAGTAAACTTACTGTTATTCCTTTCATGCAGACACATTTGACATCTTGGCATTTAAAGAGATTTTTGTGTCATTATTTTTTTGCCTAATGTGCTGGAATACTTAACTTTTTTTTTTTTTAAAATGCAGTTGGTGTTTATTGAGGCCTTATTAAGAAGTAGAGTTAAGTGTTTAAATTAATTGTCCTAGTTATGTCTAGAATAAGCACTAACAGATTAGAAACGAGTGTAAAACATTCTCCATCAATCAAAAATAAATTTAAAAGGTGAGAGAGGCAGGATAAATAGAAAGCCCTACCAGCCTGAGCAACATAATGAAACCGCATCTCTACCAAAAAAAAAAAAAAAAAAAAATCACCTGGTGCATGGTGGCTTTTGCTTGTGGGGCAGCTATCTGAGAAGCTGAGGCAAGAGGATTCTTGAGCCCAAGAAATCAAACTTGCAGTGAGCTGTGAGGCTTACCACTGACAGTTCAGCCTGGGCGGCGGAATGAGAACCTGTCTAAAAAACAAAAAACGGGAAAAAACGCTTAGAAGGTGGTGATTTAAAATCAGATATGGTATTTAAGGTCGGGCATGGTGGGCTCACGGCACTGTAATCCCAGCACTTTTGGGAGGCTGAGGAAATTGGGTTGAGGTAGGAGATTCGAGACCAGCCTGGCCACATGACAAAACCCTGTCCTTACTAAAATACCAAAAAATTAGCCGGCATGGTTTGGTTTGCGGCCTGAGGGTCCTAGGCTACTCAGGAGGCTTGAGGCAGGAGAATCATTGAACCTGGGGGAGAGGTGAGGTTGCAGTGAGCCAAGATTGCACCACTGCATTCAGGCCTGGGCACAGAAGTGAAACTCCTCTTCAAAAGCAAAAAAAAAGATATGTTTATTAAATTCAAACTTTTAAAGGCAAGGCACGGTTGGCCTCACTCTGTAATTTCCAGGCAACTTTGGAGGCCAAGGCTGGGGGATTGCTTAGGTCAGGAGTTTGAGACCGCCTGGCCAAACATTGGTTGAAACCCAATCTTCTTTACTCAAAAATACAAAAAATTAGCCGGCGTGGTTGGTGGCACACCCCTGTAATTCCAGCTACCTCAGGGGAGTGAGGCAGGAATGCTTGACCCGGGAGGTGGAGGTTGCAGTGATCTGAGATCGCGGCACTGCACTCCAGCACGGGCAATAGAGTGAGACTCTGTCTCAAAAAACAAAAACCAAAAATGGCTTGAAGAAATCACCATTCCTCTCTCTGGTAGAGAGAACAGTATTGTATGGGAAAACACAAAAGGTAACAATTCAAGAAAGTGTTTAAAAAGACTTGGGCTACAAAGGTGAAGAAGTCCTTAGAATACCTTAATCAATTTATTTCGTTTAATTTCTTTATGTGTGTGTAAAAATGATGTGAGAAAAATCTATGATATGCCTAAAAATACTTTCAGCAAACATAAAATAGAATTGTAAATGATAAAGCACAGTGGTATAGTTTAATTGGCAGCATTTTTTCTGTATGGTATACAATGGTGTGTCTTAATATTGATAGAATCTTTTATCCCACCCTGGGGTCTCTGTCACCCAGACTGGAGTACAGTGGCACAATCGTAGCTCCCTGCAGCCTAGAACTCCTGAGTTCAAGCAATCTTCTCACCTCAGCTTCCTGAGTAGCTGGAATTACAGGTGCGAGCCACTGCACCCAGCCCAATGGAATCTTAAAGCCTATTTATTTTATTTTATCTTTTTCTCCTCCTCCTCCTCCTATTCCTCCTCCTCCTCCTCCTCCTCCTCCTTCCTTCTTCTTCTTCCTTCCTTCTTTCTTCTTTCTTCTTTTTCTTTCTTTCTTTTTTTTTTCTTTTGAGACAGGGTCTCTCTCTGTTGCCCAGACTGGAGTGCAGTGGCACAGTCTTGGTTCACTGCAACCTCCACCTCCCAGGTTCAAACCATTCTCCTGCCTCAGCCTCCCGAATAGCTGGGACTACAGGCGTGCACCACCACTCCGGGCTAATTTTCATATTTTTAGTAGAGTCGGGGGTTTCGCCATGTTGGCCAGGCTGGTTGCAAACTCCTCACCTAAGGTGATCCACTCACTTCAGCCTCCCAAAGTGTTG